AGAGAGAGAGATAGAGAGAGATAGAGAGATAGAGAACTGGGTTTGGAGAGATAAAACTATAAAGGGGAGTTGTGGACAATGCGTGAAAGAGAGATAAAAGTTGTGAAATGGGACTGAGTAACATTCAAAGATCTGGCGGGCGTGTGGGATTGGCTTGACATTGAAAGCACAATGGGAGTGGAAATGATTTTGATCTCTCATCTAAGAGTTTCATATCTTTGAATTTGTGGCTGAGTTAGCACAAGAGATGCTGATCCAGAGAAAGGCAGATGAATTTTAATCTATAAAGCTGTGTAGATTTATGCTCTTAGTGACTGACTGTTTTTTGTCATTCTGATTGCAGTGGCATCTTAGGTTTAAAACCACACACTCACCAAAGCTGACAATTAAAACAATTACATTATCCGTATCAATCATATAGCAAAGTTCTTTGAGCCATTTTGTGCCCCATCTCTGTCCGCAGGTGATGAAATGCATTGTGGAGGCGTTGGCAGATGTGCTATCAAGGCCCCACCCTGTGCCTGTCAGCCAGGAGTGTTTGGTCACACTGAAGACAGGTAAGCCCCACCCAAAGGACGACAGCTTGGTATTGATCGCACAGTGTTTTTGACCAAATACCTCAATTTCAATCATTTTAACATAAATTTGGGTGATGTTAATGCCTTAAATAATTTCATCATTTATTTTTGTATGGACAAATATAGCATGGAGCAATGCCACAAACCACAGCTTTCATAGCCTTATCCCCTAGATCGGCCTTTATACAAATACAAAATCAACAAAAAGATACCAAATAGTACTAAACACAAACCATAGGCACTGCTGTGTGTTTATTTAGTATTTAATATTACCAGATCTAATCAAACGATCAAAACCATACCTATTTATTTTTTAGAATATAGTAGTACTGGCTTCCAACTTAAGAGGCTTTATTGTTGCAGATGCTGTTTGTGACCAAGAAGTTACACAGTACCTCAAATGGGAAAATATTGTTGAGTGCATAAAAGTATTTGCAGCATGAAATCATGAAATAAAACATGTTTTTTTTGGCACCTTGCTTACTGTTTTATCTTGTTTCTCCTCAATTTTCTGAGGATTTGTTTGGCCATTTTTAATCAATAATTTGACTCATAAAAATAAAGGCAATAAAGACGCATGAGTTCTTACATTCAAAAAACTGAGTAAAAGACGATACGATTCTCTTTGATTTATTTCCCTCAATGACCTTACATCTTAAATAAACTGCTGAAGTACAGTACAGTAAGACAGTGTTTCAGGTTTTGATTATACACTCTCACACTTCCTTTGTTCAGGTTCAATCTGAGGATAGAATCAGCTATAATAGTTTTTTTTCGCATCCCATCCCAGTCTGTCATTTCTATTGAAATGATTCAACAAAGCAAAGATTCATTACAGCAATTATTTTTATGTAACATGGATTTTAAATGTGAAATTTTTTTCATTATTATCATCATCATCATCATCCTCATCATGCTGCTAGAAACCAGAACCAGGACTAAAACACATTAGCCCTCACTGGAGCAACACTGCCTCTCTAAGAGAACCGATACGCGCTCTTTGTTTTTTTATCAAAAGCAACATGCCCACATCATAAGGTTAATGGATTGATGCAAAGGCTGATGGGTAAAAACCTGGTGTGTTATATACGGCGGGGTCACTAGCACTCAGTGAAGACTATTCAGTTACATACCCTGTGTATTACCTTGATGCTGTCCTTGTTGTAAAAAATCAATCAGAGCATTACTCACCGAGTGTTTGTTACCGAGCTGTGAGAGAGGGAAACTGTACACCACCAGAGGGATGGAGAAAAGAGTCAAAGAAGGGAGAGAAAAAAAAGACAGATCAAAGACTGGTATTAGAGCACAGAACTAGAACAGCACTGTACAGTAGTTGTCATTTTTGTGCTTGCTGTGTACAGTATGTAGTGCCGTTTGTGGGTCAGCAGAAAGTCCAGTGCTCACTGCTGCTGTAATTCACTGTGGGAGTCTCTGTGGGCCAAATGATTAATTGTGCTCTTGCTTTGAAAGCAGTAAATTTCAGGGCAATTAACTCTGACGAACCACTGAAGCAAACTGCTGATTCCTGTGAAAAAGTGAAGGGGAGAGACATATACCTGTGTTTTACCTCGTGCAGGAGCCCATTATTGCCTTTTGTCTCTTCTTTTCTTTCTTGACTGAGGTATTTAACCACTCACTCCCCTGCATTTTTCATGTGTGTGTGTGTGTGTGTGTGTGTTACGCAGACGACAGGCTTGTTTCTATCCTCCGACATCATAACTTTCTGAAGGAGCTGCAGGAGATTGCTGTTCAAGGTGAGTCACAGATCACACACAGCTGACGTCTGTTTGGGTGCTGAACATGCTTGTTTACATTCATAGACAGAGATCTTGAATAACTCATTTTCATTTTAAGGTGGTCAAGAGAGAGCTCAGCTGCAGAGCGATGCTGGAACACCTGACCTAACGACACAAACTCCAAAGACTGCAGACGATGTTGCAGGCAAGTTTCTTTAGTAGCTCAGATCTGTGTGAAAATGTTCAGAACAAAGACATATCCACGCATTTCTGCATGAGTTATTTCTTATCAGTAACATTTCTCTCGGTTTCATTCTGAGGAATATCTAATCAACATTTTTAAAATGCAGCAGCTGTCAAAATGATGTATCACTACCATTATTTCCCATTTTATGTTGTCAGCAAAGCAGGGCTGACAAACATAGGAGATATGCTGAGGTGAATTTAAACTCTGCTGAAGCTTTCTGTGGACAGAATGAGGACAAACACGAGATCCTTCCACCTGACAGCACACCTGGCTTTTTAAAGTCAGTGCTAGACTGCCTGTGAAGCACACAGTGGACAAGTAACAATGCAAGAGCGAGTACAGTAATGGAAAAAAATTCTGTTGACTAAGGTGCATCCACCAACTTTACTGTATGTTCTCCAACAGCCAGCCTGAACCCGTATGTGTCTAATCAAAAGATGTGTCAGAAATGATTTCCATAAATTCTGTTCCAGCTCTATTAGACGAAGAACAGATGAAAATGGATTAAGAAGGATTAAGCAAACTACTGTCGCTGCAGCAGAATTTACACTGCTGAGGTCTTCAGATTGCTTGCTTTGTCTGAGTAATAGAAAATCCAAATGATATTTAATAACTAATGATACAAAACAGAGACAAATAGCAAACATTTACACTTAAGAAGCTGGAAGCATAAAAAATTTGGCCCTTTTGATTTAAAAAAATGACTAAAAGACTGATCCATCAAAGTATCACTAGTTCAGTTCTAATATTAGCACTACATTTCTGTTGAATTTTGAAGTACCAAAAGCAGAATATATGGATCGTGACATGTCCTTAAGGGTTTCTGGTGAGACAATGGGAAAGGCAACACATTTAGGCATCACATTTATTAAGTAAATTATTTATTTAAGTAAAATCTGACATACTGATCCAGTCCATTAAGAGAAAACACAGAAATTTGACAGTTGCGACACAAAATGACCTCAGTAATAAACTGTCTTGCTGTTTTCTGGAAAATCAATGGCTTCTAGTAAATTAAATTTCTACCCCTCCACGTTTTCAGATCGATCCATGTTGGAAGCCTTAGGAGGCCCCGGTGAAAGATCCATCCTGTCTCAGAAGAGGAGGATAGGAAATGGAGAAGGGGAAGAAGAAAAGGATGAAAGACTGGGAGATGAAGAGTCACAGGAGGACGGTGACATCGTTGAAGAAGTGCAAGTGAAGAGAGAAAATGATGAGGAGCCAGGAAGTCCCGTCTCTGTGGACGAGTGGAGTGAGGGCAAGGCTGAAAAGAGAGAGGAGGAAGAAGAAGACTATGAAGAGAAGAGAGCAAATTCAGAGGAGAACAAGATTGAGGATAAGAAAAGCAAGTAGATATTTTCTTTCTTTATGTATGCCTGTCTTGTGTTTGCAGTTTAGCTACAATATATACAGAATGAAACATGCATATTCAAATTTAGAGCTCGATATATTTCTATTAAAGAAATAAAGCATGGCCAAGCAAATTCAATTATGGAATAAAGTTGACCAAAGGCAGAAAGCAGAATCTCAAGATAGGGAAAGTACAAAACAAACTGCCTTGTAGATAAAACCTCCTGCCACCACAGGACTGGTTGATTGATGGAAGTGCTTCCATCTACATGATGAGTTTCAGCCCCCCCATAGGGGCGCGGCCAACACGGCTGGCATACTGACAGCTAAAGAAATAATTAAATGTCTCCATGTCCTAGAATTCAAATGATCTGGTATGCATAGTTACAGCTGGAACCATCCACCATAATATCCTTCTTTAGATCCAGACTGCAGTCAAGATTGAGCTTTTTCTGTCTCCAGACCTTTCAACAGTTTAATAAAGATAAAAAGATAAAATGGCAAAATAAAATGAAATATGCATACCTATTCTACAAAAGAGATCTTAAGCCAAGTCATCTAATGGCTCCAGCCATGCTGTTAATTCCCATAAAGCACAGCTAGCAGTACTGGGGGCAAAGCTGCCAGCTGGCACGAAATATTTCATTACAAGAAGTGGAATCTTGCTGATGGTGGAGAGTATTCTGCCGGTAGTCTGGTGGAGGTGTCTCGGTTCAAAACAGAAAAAAAGAATGGGCTTTCTTCTTCTTTTTTTTTAAAATATTTTCCAGGTGCTGGATCTGGTGAAAAGAGAGATGCACCCAGAAACAAATCAAAAGAGAAGTTTGATGAAGAGGAGAAAGACAAGAGGTCAGCACTTTTCTCACATAAACAAGAGGAGCAACAGGGGGAAGAGGACGATGAAGAGGAGGCGAAGAGAGGCAGTAGGGAGAGCCTAAAGCGATGGACCAAGAGGGGTAAGGCATTGCCACTGAAGAAGAAAGCACTCGAGAAGGAGGCGCAGCAGCTCAACAGCCAGCAGGAAGTGCAGCATCATTCGAAAGAGGTCACTGAGGAAGAGGAGGAGGAGAAGAAGGAAAGAAACGTGCAGAGGAGTCCAGAGGAGAAGGAGCTGCAGATGATCGCTAGAAGGGGACCTGAGGAGAGGAGGGGGCTGGAGGAAGAGGGGAGCGCCAGTCGGAAGTCAGAGGTGTGCTGTCCATCCTTTTCCCAACAAGCAGCTGATGATTATAGAGCAGTTTGACATTTGGGCAAATAAGTTTATTTGCTGCGAGTTAGATGAGAAGATTCATACCACTCTTATATCTGTACAGTAAATATGAAGTTAAAGCCAGCAGCTGGTTAGCTTAGCTTAGCATAAAGACTGGGAATAGGGGGAAACAGCTAGCATGGCTCTATAAAACAAAAACTTCCACTTCCCCCACTTTTTTTCAATGATTAATTATTATAATTAATGATCTTACCAATGATACTAATTACGGCTCTATTCCATTCAGGTCAAACATAATCTGCTATTGTGCATTTTAGAAAGTCTCTGCTTCACTAAATGGAACTGAACCTTAATTAGTATCATTGTCTTCGATTACCCTATTATTTCATATCAAAATGGTTGCTGTGAAAAAGGTCTATTGTTTTTCTTACAATTAAATGTTTGTACAGAATAAACAAACCAGATATATTATGTTAATAATGGAGTATTGGTGGTGCTGGGGGATTTCAGCTGTTTCCAGTCTTTACTTTAAGCTAACCAGCTGCTGGTGCTGGCTTCATATTTAACGTACAGAAAGGTATCAATCTCTCTCTCTCATCTAACTCTTCAGAAGAAAGCGAATGAATATATTTCCCAAGATGTAAACTATTCCTTTATATAATGACTGTATGCGTTAATCTTAAATCAACAAGGCTAACTGTTACTTGTTGTAGTGCTGAGCTCAAGGCCAAAACAGAGTTAGGTTTCTGTGTTTTACTGTAAAACATAATGAATCCTTCCTACAGCTCAAATCCCATGGAGATACAAAATGGCCCAGCTGCTGCTTGGCAGCATGTTCAAAGGAAGCTATCCAGGCTGTCATAGCCTTAATGGCCACATGTATGTTGTAACAGTGAAGCAGAAAGAGGCGATTCTGGTCGTAATGTGTCCTTGCTAACAGCCCAAACTGCAATGCATGGAAGCAAATTGTGTCCTGATATGTTTAGAGCTGCATGAAAAGGTTTGCACCTATATGATTGTTTGCACTCTAAGTGTCCTGTTGCACTCTCATTATATCTGCAGGAGCCAGAGATTGAGAGCCTGGCAGCCATTGAGTCAGAGCTGGAAAACGTTGCCCAGAAACTCCATGAGCTGCGGCGAGGCTGAGAGAGAGATCGGTAAAAAGTTGACACCGCAACCTCCTCTGCCTCCTCGTACTCCTCCGCTTTACCAGCTGCCTGGTTTCCTCAGATAGAGCGTGTGAATATGTGACAAGATTTTATCTTTCGCTATTTTTCCAGAGGATGCCCACTTGCACCACACTGCTGCAGCCTCCCTTGTGACATTCTGTCCCTCACATAGATTAGCATACAGTAGACGCACATTGCAGCTAGACATGCATACTAAAAACATACAAATGCACACGTTCTGTGCATAGTGAAACACACAGCAAGGCTCCTAAAGAAAAATCTTTCTGTCAGTGAAAGATGACAGCTTGTTTTCCTTCATTTTCTCTGACAATCATCTCTCTTTCTGCAAATGTATCTCTCTTGCTTTTTGAATTAGTTTAACACTGACCATTGATTTATGTGAGAGGTTGAGGCAGCTCCAGGTATACACACACCAACAAGGTGAGGTAGTACAGTACAGGCATGTATACATGTACAAAGTTATTTCTGGGATACTTACTTACTTACTTACTTATTTCAGAAGAAGCAGAAGAAGAAGACATAGATGCTTACCTATTATAGATACAGTCAAGCCAAGGCAATAATTGAACATTTTTAGCAGATTAATGGCTGGATTGTAATCTTAGCACTGTACGTAATTTATGTAAGAAAAATCAACTAACTGAATTGAGTTTATCTGGAAATCGATGTTTTGGTAAATCCTTTTAATGCCTCTAAAATAAATGAATATTTGCATAAGAGAATAAATGCAATAAACTCAGCATACTAACAAATTTACAACTGTGTAGTTGTCTTAATGAGCTGTTTAACTGGTACAACTGATGATTTTGCATCACTTTCATTACGTAGCACCTAATTATATATATAACTGAAACTGGTTGAGACAAGTGAACCACTGGAGTGAAGATTCATTCAGTGGAGAATAATAGATTCATATACTGTATTTTTACTCACAATGTCCATCGTGAACCCAGATTCTCACTGTAAAGAGACATTAATTCACACCGTAGATGCAGTCTGCACTTGGTTGTGTTTGTGGGCGAAGAAGCTGAGAACATGAATCATCACTCTGACACACAAGCTGTTTATACGGTATATTCAGTTCAACAACAACATTTTAACCCTTCGTTTTTGGCATTAGTATTACATTATTCTTTTAGTTGCTACTATTAAGAGGAAAGAGCCAGAGTAGATCTGAATCAGAAACCGTGTGGCGTATTAAAAGGAGGAGAAGAAGATGAAAAAAGTTTTGCTTTCTCTGGCAGCTTAAATAAATATAGCTGCTGCAGTTTAAACCGGTTAAGAGATGTCTGTATACGTACTACCAGTATATGCAAATACAGAGTCTTGAAAACATTTTTAATTTGTGATGGTTTCCCTACATAATAAGCTAAATAATGCAAAAACAAATCCCAACTATTTAGAATTTGAATTTGAATTTAAAGTGACAAAGATAAGGAAGAAGGTTTGTCTTTTTTGTTTACCATTGGACATTTCTTCACAACAGTGATGTTATTATGCTGTTTGATTTATTACAACTAAAAGACAAGGCTAAGAAAATTTCCTCCATTTAAGAGGTATGTATATGGGTGCCAAAACAAGCTGCAAATGTTATAAAAAATGCATGACAACAAAATGAAAAGGGCACCAGATGGCGACATTAGACTGTCCTCGCTTCCTAAGGTGAGTTCTGTCAGCAAGGGAGATTTGCTCCCGTTGGAACATTACCTTCTTGTTTCCATCTTGTCTCGTTTGAAAAGTACAGAAAAACTAGCAAGAATGTTTTGCAACAATGCATAATTTATTTCATTTCAAATATTCCCTTTCAGTGCAGCTTAACAATCAATATGGAGCAGTAGTCATTTGGTGAACAGCTACTACTTCTGTAAATGTATGTGGTTGTTTGCTGTATATCAACTCCTGTTTAAAACGTCTTTGCTCACTGAAGAAGCCTGTACAGTAAATTATGTTACATAAATGTGAGTGGAAGAACAAACCCACGCAGAAAAGATTATCGCCTGACAAGAGTCGCTTCTTTGGTTGGAATAGAACAATCAAATCACATACACACCTACTGCTGCGGATCAGTCCTGAAATATCACAAAAATAGTTTGTTTGACTAGCTTTGTCATACAGTAAACTTCTTCATGTTTGACTCATTTCCCCATTTCATTCACTTCAGCTGCAGAGCTGGCATAGTGACTGAGTGAGGTTGCTTTCCTGCACTCTGGCTCTGAGAGAGGGATATTTGTGTTCATGATTAATTAATAGGCTACCTGCACTCCCTAAGATGTCAAAATATGAACAAATGATGATCTAGTTATGCAGAAAAACTAACATGTGAGTGTTGTGCCTGTTAAAATGTTTTAATAGATTTTTTAGTATAGGACAGAACAGTTTTGAAATCCCAATCCACACATTTATCAAAATTGAAGACAGAAAACTTGGAGAACTCATGTTTGTATAAAAAAATATAACATTTTATTTCCAGCTACAAAGTGAAACATGTAACATTTTTGTCACACTTCTCAATAAAATAGTAAAAAATACTGTTGACAAAAAATACACTATCGATACATTTTAGAAGCACAGAACAAATTTGGCTTTTAAATTAACTTAAACTGTACAAATATATACATAATTTACACATCAACAATAAAAAAGGAATGAAATTACAATTCTTCCAGTCTTTTTCTTCTATTTTTGTACAAAATAGACACTTGTTCCTATAGATCATTGGTTTCTTCCTTCTGACCTGAATCAGTAATAGTCAACTTTTTTTTCTCTTTTTGTCTCAGTGCCGTGGCAAAGCCCACTGGGTTCCTTATCTAACCCTAAACTCAGCACGCTGTTCGCTTTCTCATCCACATGCCAGGCGGAAACTCTGACCTTTCCTCTACTCTGTGAGTAGAGTGAATAGCGTAGACGCAGAGACAAGGGCGACATTCAGGCCTGCGCTAACAGACACAAACACACACACACTCGCAAACACACAAGGACACATTCAGACCTGTTTGGACAGGGGAACACTGGCCTGCTGTGGTCTGCGTGCTCCATCTACAGCTGCTTAGAGTTTGCAGGTCTGGTCTGGGCTCGGAGGGTGGGGGGAATTATTAGACACCTCATTTAGAGAGGAGGTCATGGTTAAGATATAGAAATGCATACAGTAAAATGGACGGGTCTGTAAAAGGGGGATTTCAAGGGGAATGGGCGGAAACCTGACAGTAGGTTTGTCAAAAATAGAAGTTATAGTGCAGGAATCTCTTGGAGCTGCTATGCAACCCTCTGTCTGAGTCTATATAGCTGATGTGCACCAGCCATTCAAAACACACAGACACTTGGACAAGTGTCTGGACTACTTTTACAATGAGAAAATGAAAAAAATAAAACACAAAAAAACATATATATTGAGCTGCAAAATGAGATGGAGTTCTGTTTGTTTTCAAGTCATAAGCTGTGATTGTCCTTGAGTGGCTTATGCCATGTCTCCCATCATCTTCTTGTAATACATGGACTCGAAGATGTCGTTCTCCCCAGGGCAGTTGTGGTGGCAGGCACAGGACTTGATGAACATCATGTGCTTCTTCATGAACTGTCCGTCGGGGCATTTGAACTCCATGGGCAGGGTGGTGGTTCTGTGGGGAGTGCAGCAGCGGCCATCCAGGCAGACACCGCAGAACTTTGGCCTGTAGGACTTGGTGGTGGTGCAGCCAGAGATCTCAAACTTCATAGGCTTGGAGAGTCTGGGAGTACGGATGCACTTTTTTCCTTTCTGTAGGAAGAAAATTAAGATAGAAAACAACTTCATTAAGCATTCTTTAGCTATTTAACTGTTGATATTGTATCTGGAGAGTTCATAAGGCAGTGCAGTTTAACAACAACTCACCCTAATGCTCTGCTCCAGCTGTGACTCGCATGGTCGCACCATACACAACCGGGTCTGTTTCTCCAGCCGGCATTCGCGGTTATCATTGGTGACCCTGGTGGAGATCCCAAGGCCGCAAGTCTTAGAGCATGCGCTCCATTCAGTAGTCTGAACCAGGCAGTTCTCCCTCATCATGGAGGGATCTGGGCCATAGGTCTCCTCCTCTCTGTAGGCTGTAAACACAGGGGTAAACACTGGATTAGAAACACTGATTATGTCTTATTTCTGTATGAAGACAAACAAAGAAAATACAGTTTAATGTGCTTAAAAACTATCATACAGAAAGGGAGACTAACTTACCAGCCAAAGCAGAGCCAACAAAGCTGTTTCTGTAGGGAGAATCGCACTCCCATTCCTCACAGCACTTCCCTGGCACCTTAACCCGTCTTGGCATGGGGCAGTCGGGGCTGGGCAGTCGGACATCCATGGAGCAAAGAGGGACACAGCCCACGGCTCCGTCCAGACAGGTACACTGGTACTTGCAGCTGCTCTGGAAAGTCTCTCCGCTCTTGTACACCATGCCTCCGAACACGCAGGTGGCTCCATCTCGAGCTGTGAGGGAAAACAACAAGGCAAAGGTCACGATTCAGTTCACACATTAAGGACATTTAAGGCCGATGTTTGTAATGAAGCACTGTAAAGGAAAAGTAATCATTTTCAGTGGCTCACCTGTGCACACTCCTATGCGTCTGTTGATGGGGGCCCCGAAGTCACAGTAGAGACCTTTGTGTGGGTCGCAGAGGTCTTTTTCTGTGCAGAGCTCCCCCATCTGTTTGGCACACACCCTGCAGCAGCCGCAGCCATCCAGCACAAGGCTCACTCCTGGGGCGCACTGAGGGGGAGTGGAGGGGCACGAACACTGGCTGCTGCACTCCTGACCTGCAGCCTGAGCACAGGACACACACAGACACATGCTTAGTCAAATATCATCTCCATAAAAGTGTATTATAGTTATACATCCAGCACATGGAGAACACAATGTCTTTTAGGGTTAGAGCTTATGTCATGTTTTGACACAGCAATGCTCACTTAAAGTCTGAGCAATTCTAAGTCTAAAACAACAGCAGTATGAAGTATTTTTTAATGTTTTCTCGGCTTACCATGTATGAGAGCATGATGCACAGGAAAGGCAGCAAAATCATTTTCTTCATTCCAGCAGACATCTTTTCTTCCTTGTAGTAATAGACTCTAGTTTTTCCTTAAGTCTCGTTGATAAAGTCTTCCTTTAGTTTCAGAGTTTGAGCTTGAGAAACCTTTTCTGATCAAGTTGATCTCTTGTCTGGTTTGTCTCGTAGAGTTTCTCCGCTGCTCCAGTCACAATCTTTCTTTCTTTCTTTCTTGGTGAAAGCTATAGTTTAGCTTCGGTAGAGGAGTTGATCTGAGTTCTGACTGCAGAGTCGAGCTCCCTTTATACTCGCTGGCCCTCGAAACACGTCACTGGAGGCTGAATGGAGAGCCAGCCCTGGACAAACATGGACATACTTGGCATTCTTTCCTCGCTTCCTGACCCCCACTCCAGACATCCCACATTCCTGCTGTCTGAAGGCAAGGCTCTGCTGCTCGGCCAAACAACACTGTCTCTCTCAGAGCGGCTTTCATCTGGAATGGGAGGTTAAGTCTGGTTAGAGGCCTGGGACCCCACACTGGGAATTCCTGAAGACTGACTTCACAAACAGACAGCCGGTACCTATAAATATTAATTTTAAAAAAGAAGAAAAGAAAAAAAATAGCACAGTTTAAAAGTGAAGGCACAACAAGCTTTACATGAAAGAAGGAGAAGTTAAATAACAGCAGGTAGAATATCATAAAAATGCACCAACACGCAA